GCTGCTGCTGCTGCTGTGCTTGTAAGTAGACAAAGAAATAAATATAATTAAATAAAATAAACAGTTTTTTTAATTCCTTGCTGCAGCAGCAATCGTTCTTCCCTTTTTATTTGCTGCTGCAGCAGCAGCTGCTAGTACAGAGCAGCAGCAGCAGCAGCAGCAGGAGCAGCAGCAGGAGCAGCAGCAGCAGCCGCAGCAGCCCGAGCAGCAGCAGGAGCTGCATGCATACATGAAACTGTATATAAAAGCAAAACAAAAACCATTAAGCAAAAAAAAAATAAAAAAATAAAAAAAATAAATATAAAAGAGCTGCCTATACACCCCAATCGACCGCAGCAATGGCGGCGTTCGTGCCCATCAACTGCAGGCAGCTGCAGCAGAACGATTCGTTGCTGCGTTTATGTAATAAAAACTATAAAAAAGAAGAAAGAAATAAAGGCCTTTTGCCTCTCAATAAACAGTCTCCTTTTGGGGATTTTCCTTATCTCCTTAATACACAAAAAACAACAAAAAAAATACACACGCAGAGCTGCCTATACACCCCAACAGCAGCAGCAGCAGCAGCAGCAGCAGCAGCAGCAGATATACACCCCAACACCACACCATCAATTACGCCAATAACAAAATTTAATAATAGAGAAATCAAAGCGAGAACTAATGTACAAGGTCAACACAAAATACACCCTCTTACTGCTGCTGCTGCTGCTGCTGCTGCTGCTGCTGCTGTTGCTGTTGCTGTTGCTGGTGCTGTTGTTGTTGCTGTTGCTGTTGGCGGTGGTGATGGTGATGGTGGTAGTGGTGCTGCTGTTGCTGCTGCGGTGGCGGTTGCTGCTGTGGCTCGTAGAGCTGCTGCTGCTGCTGCTGCTGCTGCTGCTGTGCTGCTGCTGCTGCTGCTGCTGCTGCTAGTGAAGCTCGTTCGACTACTGCTGCTATCCCTGTTATTGCTGCTGCTACTGGCGCTACTTGTCTTTCTGCTGCTGCTGCTGCTGCTGCTGCTGTTGCTGCTGCTGCTGCTGCTGCTTCAATACCGCCTTGTAGCTGCTGCTCTCCCTGGTGCTTTGCTTCCCCTCCCGCTGCTGCTGCTACTCCTTTACGCC